TACCATTAATAACAGAATCCGTAGTTTCATTTTGTCTACTCAAAATCCTGTCACCTCTCCCCCCTCTTCTCCTCCAACCCATCCTTCCTCACTTCCCGCCCCCTCCTCCCCCCATCCTATTTCGTAATCCCGTTTGTCAAAAATATTTCCCCTGAATTTACACCTCTGTCACATCAATTGGAAAAAAATTTAGCTTTCCTTATCATTAATAAATTAAATCGTTTTATAAAAGTGCATAAGGACTCTTTATCTAAGGAGTTTAAATCTAACGTGGTTTACAAAATTGATTGTCTTGATTGTGATGCCTCTTACGTTGGACAAACCAAGAGACAACTGAGAATACGCATCAAAAGAACATCAATCGAACATTGACAATCCCTCGGCTAATTTAACTGTAGTGTCTGAACACAGATTATTTGGGCATGAATTTGACTGGCAGAATGTCTCTATATTGGATAATGAGCCACATTATATTAAGAGACTAATTTCAGAAACATTACATATTAAAGAACAAGCCCACAGTATTAACGTTAAGGACGACATCGATATTGAATAAATCTTACTTTCCCATCCTTAAAAGAATCAATGCTTTTTCCCTTTCATAATTAACTTAATTTAATTTTGTATTTCTTTTCCTCTATACGGTTCCTTTACCCACCCCTCCTCTCCCCGCTTCCCCGTTCCCTCGGTCTCCCACCCACTTCCACCCGCGTTCACTCTACCCACCCTTACCAACAGCCAGCTGTGAGATCTCGGCACGCACGTCTCATTACGTTGCGAACTTGCGATCTATCGACACGCTTTATTTCGACTCTCCGCATTTCTTCTGCTTTCCATATCAGCTTTTATTAATAATCTTGGTGAGCGCTATAACTATTTTTCTTGTCTCTATCTATCTTTTCTAATCTTTTTGCGAGATCATAACCATTTTAATACTTTAATAATATTTTTCACTTTATTATTTCGATTATAATCTTTTGTTTGAATATTGTCAATCTTTTATAACTGGTTTTTTCTAGCTCTATTTTTCAAAATTCGTTGACTATCTACTCATAACATAATTTATTTCCATGTGTAACTGTATATCATGCTTTTTGTATGTTTCTTTTAATCTTTTAAATTTTTTTACCACTTCTGTGGTTATATGTGCGAGACTTGTTGCTCCTTCTGGTTTATAATTATTACAGATCACCTACGAGGTTTTACCAGGTTTACACTATATAATATTCTTATTACATCGGAAGACGAGATCTCCTGGGTTTTTCCTTGTTTTCGTTTCGTGGAACGGTCTTTTCTTATATACATTCCAACAACGAAGGTGAGCATCATTTCTACACATGTACGCAGAACTGTTACAATTCTTAGAGCCCTGTAATATGTTTCATACTAGCGTTTTCTGTATAACAATTCTTCAATTTGCGACATTTATTATTTATTATTATTATTTTTTGAGCGTTTTTGTCTACAAACGAATTATATATTTTTATACATACAACCTTCTTCTATTATGAATTTTGCGAGCGCCTTATCTGCATGCGTACGCAGATTTTTGATTTCGTCGGTTTTAACCTCACACTTGCGATTTTATATATTAATTTGTATGTCTCCGACTACGATTCTAATCAACTTTGTCGTTTATCGTCATCTCTCATTTTACTGTTTTCACTGAAGAAAGCCCGATATGGGCAGAAACGTTTGTTAATAAATTCTCACTTAATACATACGCTAATTTGGTGACATTTTCCATCCTTGCCATAATGACGTATAGGTGATATTTTGAGTTTGTCGCCACACGACACGCGATTCTGGCTCACTGACCCGTAACATTTTTGGTTTTTATTTCTTATACACTGAGCCTTAAACTACTTTTGATTGTTTCTTGATTTTTTAATTAAAAATTACTCGATTTACGCCGTGTTTGATCATTTTAATCGCAAAAATCTCATTAATTCGTTGAAATTATTTTCAAATCGATGAAATTAAAATAAAAGTTTTAATTTTTATTTCATAAGATGTTTACATTTTCGTGAATTGCAAATGGATAAGGAAGCGAAGAACCGATTGTAAGAGCTTTCGGAATTATTTGATGATAGATTATCTCGCTCGCTCTCTACTCATGATCTTGCTTTCTCCGTCACACTTGACAATCGTGATAGACAGCTCGAAAAGATAAGCGGACCCAAGAATCGAGAGCGAGCAAGACAGTAATAGATACGAGCGAGACAATAATAAGAGCAAGCGAGACAGTAATAGATTGAACGGGAGGAAAATATTAGTGTGAAAGAAGGATCCGATTTCGAGTTCGAGTTCTCGTTGCTCGTGCTATTTCTCGTTCGCTCTTATTATTTTTCTCATTCTTATTACCTTCTTGCTTCTTCACGTAATTCTCGCATCTTTTGTACATAATGCGTCTATACATACACACACTCATACCCACACACACCCACAGCGCACACACACACATATATTGTTACGCGCGCGCCCGAGTCGTTACGGTCCTGCCGTTGTCCGGATCCCGTCGGCAGNAGTCCTTATAATTAATTACGCGAAAGCGATTCAGAATCCGCGAGCGAACGGAGCGAACTGATCAATCCGGCGACACGGAGAACGCTTTTTTCTCGTGATCGAAAAATAAGTGGAGTGCGTCGATACCTTTAAGCAAGAAAGCGCGTTTTCCGCGAGCGCGTCAATTTATTAGCGGAGCCTCTTCTCGAAAGATCCCGATTTTTCTGAACTAATATAAATGTTCAAAACGAACGGTAAGTAATTTATTTATTTTCTTGGATCTTCCGAGAAGGGCAAGCGCTGTTTTTAAATGCGCTGACAAGCGATGTACGCGTAACGGCTTGCCAGGAGGCCGAATGATCGCTCCGGACCCTCGTCTTTTAGCGGAGGGCGTTTGAACATTTCCGCCGCCTCGCCAAAGCCGTTTGGCGAAAAGAATGGCTAGCGAGGATATGCAAGCTGTCGGCGAGCTTCCGAAACTACTGCGATGGAGGCCGTGACTCAAGACCTTGATGGGGAGCACGACGGAGCTTCACGACGGGTCGATACCAAGTCCGGAGGCGCTGCGGTGGCGCAATGTCACTACGCGGAACTGACCATCCTCTCGGGGTGGATTCTGCGAATAGCGCGAGTGCCAATTTCGTTGGTGGTTGTGAGTATCGTTCCGGAAGGCAAAGTACGGCCGACCTTGAAAGCCCGTCTTTCGCGCAACCACTTAGGGACGGTGATATGGAGTGGATGTACCTTCGACATCCTTCCCAAAAATGGTCTCTCATATTTTGCAGGAGTGCCAGCGAGATAAGCGGGACGTTGGTTATCAGCAAGACGTGCTCGGCACGCTAGTCAGGCGGCTCCCACCTAGAAGGTGTCCAGGCGTCAGGCAAGCAAGTCCTCAGGGTCGTCGAGAAGTGCCTGCAAGCGGCCGCGATTTTTTATTAAGGCCACGCTTCTACCTGAGGGAGAAGGTCTCATCTCCTCAACGTCAGATTGGTCGGCGTCGCCAATCACTCGTCGGAGATGTGTTTGAGCGACTTGACTGCGGCTTCCCAAATGCCTCCGAAGTGCGGCGCTGAGGGAGGATTGAACCTCCACTCGATCCTCTCGGAGGCGAGGCTGTCGATGATCCGGTGGTTTTCTGGCGTGCCCGCGGTGAAGAGGGCTGTCAGCTGGGAACGGCTCCCACGAAGGTTGTCCCGCAGTCGCTTCGAAGGCTGCGACAGATGCCTCGGCGGGAGACGAACCGCCTGAGGGCCGCAAGGAAGGCCTCGGCCGTGTAGTCGGAGACTACTTCGAGGTGTACGGCTCTGGAAGCAGGCAGACGAAGACCGCTACGAAGGCCTTGTAGGAGCGGTGTCCGCGCCCCTTGGTTGTGCGAAGTTGAATCGGCCCGGCATAATCGACCCCAGTGTGAAGGAAGGGCCTCGCTGGTACCACGCGCTCCCGTGGAAGATCGCTCATCAGCTGTTGTGGTGTCGCCGCCCGCCATCGCACGCAAGGGAGACATCGCAGGATAGCCTCCTTGACCAGTGCTCGACCCCGTGGAATCCAATAATGTTGGCGGATTAATGAGAGAGTGAGCTGTGTTCCGCCGTGCAACGCTCGTTTATGCAGTCGTCCACAATTAGCCGAGTGAGGTGCGAGCCCTTCGGCAGGAGGACGGGGTGACGCTCGTCATAGGCTAGGATGGAGTGCTTGAGTCGACCCCCGACTCGCAGGAGACCCTCGGTACCTAAAAAGGGACTAAAGCGAGCAAGTGAGTTGATTTACTTAAGGCAAGGCCCTGACTTATTAATTTTAACTCGGCCCTGAATTTTTCAGATTGTACTCGCCGGATCCAACAAACTCGAGCTCTCTCTATCTCCTCTGCGGACAAAGTACTGGGGAAGCGCTGTTGAGTGCCAGTGGACCGATCCTCTCTTACTCTCAGCCACCGCCGACACCAGGCTGTCACGCGTAGGAGCCTCTTCAGGGAGGAGAACCGCACCAGCTCGGCGGCCTCGCTCATCGGCGCTGCTGTGGCTTTGACATGGACTCGTGTGCGCTTCTCCGGCAGGTGCTCTTCGGGGATGTGGCCGACGGCGGTCGGCCATGCGGCGGCGTCTAAGCGTAGCCAAGGCGGACCTTGCCACCACAGAGGATGGCTCTGCAGTTCCTTGGGAGAGAGACCTCGGGAAGCGCAGTCCGCTGGGTTGTCCTGGCCTGGAACGTGATGCCACGCAGCCTGCGGAGTGGTCCTCTGAATCTCTGAGACGCGGTTCGCGACGTAGGTTTGCCACCTGGATGGGTGGCCGCGGATCCAGCCCAGCGCGACGGTGGAGTCCGTCCATAGGTGAAGCGGCGCAGTCAGGTCGAGGATTGTCAAGGCGTGTTTGGCTAGTCGCAGAGAAGGACGGCGGCGCTTAACTCCAAACGAGGTAAGGACACCTGTTTGAGCGGTGTGACCTTTGTTTTCGCGGTGATTAGGCGGACAATCCACGAGTCGTTTGACCATGTTTTTAGGTACACGACGGCGGAATATGCTCGTTCTGAGGCGTCGGAGAAGCCATGGACCTCGATGCGGGTGCAAGAAGGACCCAGATTAATCCAGCGAGGTACTCGGATTTGCTCGAGTACTGGTATCTGGGCGTGAAAGGTGACCCAGGCTGACGCGGAGGCGTCGTCGAGCGGAGCGTCCCACTCAAGTCTTGAAGCCAAGTCGATTGGAAGGCAATCTTGGCGCGGACCACGACCGGTGCTAGCCAGCCGAGAGGGTCGAATAGCTGCGCCACCAGAGACAGTACAGACCTCTTGGTGACGGATGGCAGTGCGATGTGCCGGGTGGCGAAAGAGAAATCGTCCGTGGCGGGGTGCCACTGCAGTCCTAAGGTGGAGTGAGCCTCGTGTGGTCGCCAGTCACGGGTCTCGCGCTGCAACTGGTGCTCCGGCGGGATATCCCAGATCACCGCTGAGTCGCTGGCTGACCACTTCCGGAGAGGGAAGCCGCCCGCCATGCAGATACTGGACAGCTGTTTGCACATCTCCTGGGTCTCCGCCATCGTCGCTGCTCCGGTTAAGATGTCGTCCATGTAGACATCTCGCAGGAGAACGGCCGCTCCTAGAGGGTACTGCTTACCCTCGTCCTCAGCTAATTGCCTGAGAGCGCGCATCGCTAGAAACGGAGCACACGCTAGGCCGTAGGTCACTGTGCTCAGCTGGTACTCGGCAGGGCTGTCTTGCGGGGAATCCCGCCACAGGATCCTTTGCAGATCCCTGTCATCCGGGTGTACCAAGATCTGTCGGAACATCTTTTCGACGTCGGTGGCTAGACCGAAGCGGTGCCGTCGCCAACGGAGTAGCACGTCGGCGAGCGGAGGCAACAAGTTCGGACCCACCATCAAGTGATCGTTGAGGGTTCTTTTCGAAGTAGTTGGCGTGGAGCCGTTAAAAACTACGCGCAGCTTCGTGGTGACACTGTTCTTCCGCAGCACGCCGTGATGCGGCAAGTAATGCACCGGTCTGCGCGACGTAGCGTCCGGAGTCACGCGAGACATATGACGCAGGTCCTCATACTGCCGCATGAAGTCGGCATAGAGGGCTCGAAAAGGAGGATCCCGAGCGAAACGTCTCTCCATGCTGAAGAGAACTCGTAAAGCCGTGGAGCGCGTCACCGAGAAGTCTGGCAGCGGGGCAACGACCGGCAGACGTACGACGTACCGACCGTCCGCGACCGCGAATGTGTCTGGCGGAAGAAGTTCTCGCACTGTTGATCCGCGGGTGAGAGAGCTACCGCGGCGTCGGGTAGCTCTTCTTGCTGCCAGAACCTTTGTACGAGAGCGCCTAGGTCTTCCTCGACCAGGCAGTGATGTGCTGACGCATGGCGCGATGTGGACGTCGTACCGACGGCCCCAGACAATATCCAGCCCAGCGCCGTCTTTTGTGCCACAGGTTCCCGTGATTTCCCTCGTCGAAGTCCAGCCTGGAGGATCATGGCGTAGACGTCTGCTCCTAGAAGGATGTCTATGGGATCCGTCGCCAAGAAGTCCGGATCGGCGAGCTCCAGCCCATGGACGTGCGTCCACGCCCGACGATTGGCCTTGATTCCGCCTTCATAAAGTGTGAGCCGGGGGAAAACCAAGGCGGCCACGCTTATTAAAGGCCCGTCGCGCAGGGAGCGGATCTGAAGAGTGACTTGACCGCGGGCGAGGCCCGTCTGCTTGCCGCCGATTCCATACACGGCGACGGAGGTAGGAGACCGACCTAGGCGAAGACGTTGGGCCAAAGCTTCGGAAACTAGCGAGGACTCCGAGCCCTGGTCAACTAGTGCGCGTGCAGTGTGAGCGCGGCCGAACCGGTCCAGGACGCGAACGCGCGCGGTAGCGAGGAGAACTGTCGTCGTCGCCTCGACTTTGTGTTGCGCTAAGTGTGACGTCTTAGCGCTCTCGCCGGACGGACATGCCTCGTGGAGGGTCGTGTGGTGACGCGCGCGACACGACGAACAAGTCTTTTGAGAAGAACACTCGCTTACCTTGTGCCTTCCTAGGCAGTTCAGGCACAAGTCGTTCGCCTCGACGTGACGCTTCCTTTCCTCCGCCGTCTTGCTCTGGTAAAGGTCACAGAACATAATATAGTGATCCTGACCGCATAGGGAGCAGCGACCTCGCTTACTGTCCTGCTTACGCGTGTGAAGAGTGCGAGTCTTCTGTGTCGGACTTGGATGCGGTTTAGAAGAAATGGCTTCGACCTTGACAGGCTGCAACGATTCTAAAGTGTGCAGCCGACGATCCAAGAAGAGCTGGAGTTTGTCGTACGAGGGTGGATCGTTGGAATCACTAATGAAATTCTCCCACTCGCGGCGAGATCGAGGATCAAGCAGGTCAACGACGAGGTGCACGAAAAAGATCTTCACCCTTCGTGATCGGGCGCCCAATGCTCTCCAGTGATCCTACCGTGCTCTTCACGCTGTGGCAAAGTTTGCGCAGTTCCACCACGGACTCGCTCTTCAGCTTCTGGAGTGACGTAAACTGGGAGATGTAACTGCGCACCAGGAGCCGCTTGTTCTCATAGTAAGCAACGAGAACATCCCATGCGCGTTCGAAATTCTCGGTTGTCGTGGGCAGGCTTCGAATCAATAATTCTGCTTCTCCTTTCAGGCATGTCTTCAGGTAGTGGAGCTTCTCGACTGAGGACGTGAGAGTGTCCCTTCCGATTAGCGATTGGAAGAGATCACGGAAGGCTGGCCAATCCTCGTACTTCCCGGAGAAATGAGGCAGCTGGATCCTCGGAAGAGTCGTGCGGGGTGCTTGCGAGGACGGCTCTGACCCTCTCGTGCCAGCTTCCTTCTCTTCCGTCTTGAGGTTACGCAGGAGGTCCAACAGCAGGCCCTTATTGGCGAGGTAGGCCTCTTCAGCCAGAGCAGGTATGTCGAGTCTTATGTACTCTGAATCGGCCACTTGGTCGAGATAATTCAAGAGCTCATCGTTGTGCGCGTCGAACTTCGTCCAGTACCTTTCCAAGGACTGCAATCGCGCCTCCACTGCGCCCACCGTGATCTTGGCAGCGCCCAGCTTCATCAGGTTCTCGTGAGTACGGGCAATTTTGCCGTAGAGATCCGTTGCAGCGGTGATTGTCAACTCGGCCTTGCGACTCATGATGACTGAATTTCAGGTGACTGGTGTTCGGAGCACAGAGAACCACAACACTTCGCACTCACTCCGCGTCGTAGAAAAACCGGTCACTAAATATCCGGCTCGAAGGACCAGCAAATGATAGAGTTTATGCGAGATTGACGCGGGAGGCAAGCGCGAAACCGAAGGATAAAAATCCGCGAGGAGAGAAAACGAAGAGAAATTAATTCGACGATAAATCTAAGTCTTTTAACAATAATAGTCAGTTTATTATAACAATTATAACACTAATTATAATACACAGTCTTAAATTAATTACGCGAAAGCGATTTCAGAATCCGCGAGCAACGGAGACGACTGATTCAATCCGCGAGCAACGGAAGAACGTTTTTTCTCGTGATCGAAAAATAAGTGAGTGCGTCGAGTACCTTTAAGCCAAGAAGCGCCGTGTTCCGCGAGCGCGTCAATTTATAGCGGAGCCCTTCTCGAAAGATCCCGATTTTTCGTGAACTAATATAAATGTTCAAAACGAACGGTTAAGAATTTATTTATTTTCCTTGGATCTTTCGAGAAGGGCAAGCGCTGTTTTTAAATTGCGCTGACAAAGCGATGTCGCGCTAACGGCTGCCAGGGGCGCCGAATGATCGCTCGGACCCTCGCTCCTTTAGCGAGGGCGTTTTGAACAACTTATTATTTTCAAATTATTACACATAAATACTCGCATACACTAATAAAGATCTAATAGAAATATTCAGAAAAAATAAATTTTCTCGTAAGATTTGTAGGCATTTATAAATGATATAGATGGATCTATCTATCGATAGATTTATAATAATATAGATAGATATTAATATATATTATACTTTATAGATACTTTGAGAATTTTATGAAAATATTTATTTTATGTATATTATATTTATATTTATTTATATTTATTTTATTATATTTTTATTATATTTTATTATATTTATTTTTATTTTTATTATATTTTATTATATTTTTTTATATTTATTTTTATTTATATTTATTTATATTTAAATATTTATTTTATATATATTATATTTATTTTATGAAAATTATTTTATATTCAGATGGATATAATCGCTTTATATTTGTCTATTTCAAAATTTTTCTTAGTATGGTATGTCTAACATAAGACGATTATATCCATTGATATTCGTCCGATTTTTCAGCTTATCCTAACACATTACAACATAGCGTATTTTAATTCGTATTAGAACTTTTTACAGTCTTCTCCGAGCACTCAAAAAATTTCGTTTCGTTTCAAGCTGGTTTTAGCACACACCAACGCGATTAATACGGCCGATATTTTTAATCTCGCGTCCGTATGATTTAAGGGAAGCCAGCAGGATTTTCTTTGCGAGTGATCCGAACTGTATTTCGCATAAATTTCGATTATTAACGAGAATTATGAGAGAAAAAAAATGACCTCCTTCTTTTCGATATAATTAGATAAAAATATTTACGATAGGCATAAAAACGAAATTCATTCTATGGATCCATTCATATCATCGGTTGCTGACAATTGCCCCTTAAAAGTCTCAATATCCACATCGAACATCAAAGAATTTTTCGTTTGCGTTAGGCAGATATTAACTCGCGTACGTGATTTTAATGTGCTCGCTCACGTAATTACATGGTTATACGACCTACGTATCGTTAAACGATTCACGTAGATTCCTCGATGAAACGCGCGTTTAACGACGCTTATGTTCTTATATTCTTTTTTTCTCTTTCCGAGCTTCATTTAATCATTGCAGCCGCGGCGCTCGATTTAACTTTCTGCCAATTTCTGTGGAAGGTGTTCTCGCCGAATGAAATTTCGTTGATGTAAAATCGCGCACGACGACGTTTCGAGTAGATATATTAGTATGATTTATAGTTGAAAAAAAAACCGTGTTTAATTAGTCGACATTACTGATGCTTCACTTCGCATTAATGCAAGTTACTTCAAAGCGACAAATTAGTTATGTATCTTTCGCGTATATTGACGTTCTATTTCCTCCTCATGCAAGTTCATTATTTAACTTTGTACAGTAAAAATATTTTTCAATTTTATAAGTCGTCATTCGTGCAAGTTTTCAATTTATTCATAAATAATATAGTCGCTTTAAACATTTCAAATAACTACTTATTTTTTTCTCGCGACATTTATTACTTACGTAATATTTTAAATATATCGCTTAATATATTTTACACGTAGACTGTAAGAGGAAAATAATAGTTTCAAGACTCCTACGTAGTGTATCGCGCATTGTTTTATAAAAATAACTAAAAAATAATAACGTGAATATATATATATATCAGTTATTATTTTAATAATGTTATCACACTTTCTATATAATATAAATATTTTATTAATGAAATATATATTGTATATTTTATTGTCCGTTATCTAATTAAGGATTTTGTATGTACAATCTCAGCAAAAAGTGGCTGAAATTCAATATTGACGAATATCCATTTTTGGTGTATTTTAAGTAAGAAATTGTGTTGATTATTTAATTTGATCTTAGCTACAGTGCAGAGATATATTTTTTAATATTTACTAAAATATTCCGAATTTTGTTAATCGAAATGATTAACTTTTGCCAGAGAATTTCGCCTTGTGACAGATACATGGCTAACTTCATTGAATTATATTTAATATTTTTTTAACCAGTTAGTAGTTGTATAATATTATTTGACCAAATATTTCCTCTGTATCTAAACTTTCGCAAATTTTAAACAAATTCTGAATATTATTTCCATGTACTTTTGTCATTTGAATCGACGTGGTTATACGTTTCCCATAAGAACACATGTTAATTCGGTGCAAATTAAAATCCTTATAACTTGTGAACGCTTTAGTGAATCGATTTAAAATTGTACTGAAGATTCTAAACATATGTAAGGACATTCTGTACAATTTTCATTAAATTCTCAATATTTTGAAAATAAATACAAAACATCCTTAATAACTCTTTCGTAAAATTGATACTGAAAATTAAAATTAAGAAATTGAATTAAAAATAGAGATAACGGATTTGTAATAAAAATAATATAATAATAGAAAGATTTATATTTATACTTTAGAAAAGATTAATTTCGTAAAAGCAGTTTATTTTGTAAATAGAATATTTATTTTGTAAAATTTTGTAAATTAAAAAGTATCGACAAGAAAGTGCAAATGAAAATCCTTATAACTTGTGAACGCTTTAGTAAATCGATTTAAAAATTGTACTGAAGATTCTAAACATATGTAAGGACATTCTGTACAATTTTCATTAAATTCTCAATATTTTGAAAATAGGTACAAAACATCCTTAATGGTAACAAGGAAAATGTTTAATGTAAATGAATCTTAATGTACTAATGTGCTATTTTAATGTACTAACTGCATGATAAAAAAATATAATGTAATGATATAAGCATTGCATGCACTTTTAACCTTTGAAAAAATAACTGCAAATTTTGTTGAAAATTCTCGATCAATGCGAATTTTTCCCTCTTGAGACGTCATTCTAGCGACACAATGTCTCTTTCGTTTTGTTATATCCTTAAATCTATCGAAAGACGACAGAAACGTACACACACAAATGTACATCTAGTGCTTGTTACATTCGCTCGCGATATCGATTCTCTCTCAATGCGGGTCACTGATTTCCTCCTTAACGATATCGCTAAGAAAAATGGATTCTTTGAAAACTTTGTGTTTTTGTCTCTGCATCATCAATCAGTGTATTTCTTGTTCAATTTATAAAACAATTAAATTAATTAGGAGCCATTTACGGTCATCGATTAAATGGATTAACGGCAAAACACAATTTGTGACGCGTGACATTTCCTTCAGCTATGATAAGAAGAAAAGAATTCGATATCAAAGAACGCGAATCACTATATCGGAAAATGGTTGATATACCTCTTCAATTTTTTTATATTTGTTAAGTGTGTAAATCAAATAAACGTATTTCGACATATTTCTTTCTTTCTATAAATTTCAACCTCTAGAAGTTGGTTCTATCGCGAAAGCTATCGCAAATAAAAAAAATAAATAAAAATCGAAATATGGCGAAATATTTTCTTTGTGAACAATTTTGCATTATAACTTGACCGCGCTCTGCCCGAATGCGTTTTGAAAAGGACTTTTGAATGGCTTTGACCATAAAGCCCGCGTCTTGATTCTCGTAGAGGAATTCTCTGGCTGACCACCTTCGTCCCTTTCTACTGGAAGTACTACTAACACTACTCACGTCTGTCCCGCTTTCAGAACAAACTTCCGCCCAGATACAGCAGCTTGAGCCGTTCTTGAAGTGAAAACGTACGATATCGTCGAAATTGTTAGGACCATGCGAGTAAAACATAATAAAAAACTATAATAAAAAAACTCTATACGCCATTTCTTGCTATTACATAAAAAAAAGAAGAAAATTTATTAGATTTATATAGTTAATTATAAATTTAAAAATAATAATAATAATATATTTAAAAATAATAATAATTATATATTTAAAAATAAATTTATAGATTTAATTTTATTTATAGATATAAAATTTATCATAGAAATATTTACAACAAAGGTTATCTTGAAAAAAAAAACAGATTTAATTTAGTCGCGCGTTTGTTTGAAGTTTAAAAAAGCTTAAAGGTACAATCTAAATAAAAATTAATTTTCTTTAAAATTAGATGATAGAAAAGGGATATAATTAGAAGAAAGCGTTTGTTTGCGATTACAATTAAAAATTAAAATATATAATTGCATAATTAATAAATCTGAAATTTTTCTACAAGTCCATGAGGGAAGATATAAGAATTTTCTATTAAAAGCTTCTTCCATCGATCAATTTTTTAGCTAATATAAATAATAATAATGCTGTGCACGATTTTCATTTCTATCAAGTAATTTTCATTTAGTACATGAAATCACAAAAACGTCAAAGCTTTATTGATAATGTTGGCTAAAAAGCTTCATGCTTCTCTTACGAGGAAGGAAAACGTAAAAAGGAGTATTCTCGTCGATACGATTTTCACTTTTCGCCGATCTCCGGGATCGAGAAGAATCAGAACTCGAGAGATAAATCTACGAGTGAGCTGCGAGTGACAGTGTGATGCAAGATGGGATTCTGCAATGTGCATTACCTGAAGGAAAGCTTTCTAAAAATTCGTGGATAGGAATTGCAGAAGTGTCCGTAAAATGAAATTTTACGACATCTGTCCGCCGGAATCGTTCTCTCATAACTCGCGTGAAAGTAACACGAGAATCGATTTTATGCGCTGCACCGTTTAGTTTACCACGGGACATGGAGTAAATAGTGGCTATGTATTTTTTAGCTATAATATAAAAAAATTTAATGTCGCGAAAATATATGTCACAGATAAAGATGTGTCGAAAAGAATTTTTTTTTTCATTCAGAAGCATTGTCAAGTTTATCAATCTTTCTACAATTTGTGTATTATTAATTTCTTATAATCTGATAAAAAAAAAATAAAAAATTCGCTAAGTAAATTTGACATCTTAAATAATTTCCTTGATTTAATAATTAGAATTATTTATTTAAATATTATCATTATAATTAATTATATTATAATTTATTTATTTATTATATATATATTATATATATTATTTTATATATATATATATATATATATA